GTTTTGAAACCGACGGGGTTCCGAGTACATGTAGTTTGTATGGACATTTGCTGGTTTTCAACTAGGCGTCCGCCAAAACTTCAATTAGGCACTGTGTATTTTCTCGCAACACAAATCGTAGATAGAAGAGGCCTGTCAATAAGAATGACTTTGCAAAACGATATCTTACTCGATAGGGAAAGATCAACCTAACACTACATTCATTTAAAATGTTTTCAGTACTCTATTCATAGCACTTAAAGCGTGCCTGTAAACAGTTGTTCAAAGAAAGTTGTTTCTTTGATTGATTGTTCAGAGATCCTCTATTTATGATGAGTTAGCTATAGAGTCCTGCAGATTCTGTAGGCTACGCCCTATACTGGTGGCCATTTTGGGCTAGTTGTTCTCAAAAAGCGTTGTCTTATATATTCTTGTAGGGTAACTGCGAGAATTTCGATGTCGAAATTGCCGACTGGTAGTGTTCCTTGTAGGAGGACTTGATCAATTTCTAAGCGAATGCAATTTCCCTTATAGTGATGATGTGCCATGTATACGTGTTAAACTCTTCGACAAGCCTGATTGGTTTTTGTTCTTGATGTCAAAGACGTTGTTCCTTGTAAGGTAATTGTTCTGGATGTCAAAGACGTCGTTCCTTGTAAGATAACTTGAATAGTACTTGGCAGTTCTCGTAGACGGATATGCGTTAGGGCCTGGTGTAGCGTTTTGTGCAGCATCTCCGTTGCTGAGATGTTCAGGGAGTCGGATAGAGCACCTATTGCCTTGAGTCTCGTGTTGCGTTGGCCTGCAGGGTCCATTGAAATCCATGCACTTCGTGCTTGTGCTCTCTTACATTACATTCTCATTCAACTGTTTTTCATCTTCATTGACAATCGCGTGGGCGTAACCGGTTGAACTTTGTCAATTCTTGATGATAGGATCACGTCTACAGCCCCAAATGGCGAACGAAATTATAAATTAATGTCGCACCACGCGATTTCCATAGTAAACGCACAGCTGAACTTTTATCTATGTATTTACTAATATTGTGGTAGAGTACTACTACTACTATTTATAGAAAGTAGTTTATCCCAAATTTAAAAAGCTAAAAGTAGTTATTTGTAATAATTCAATGATCGGTAGGGCCTTTCAGCAAAAGTCCATTACCCTATTGCATCCTCACCCTCATCCTAGATTTCAAACTACCGATACTATTTGTATCCGTATCGCACCGTCGCTATATTTGCGAACCACTACAATTTAGCAATTGATAATATCAGTTAATATTACAGTATTTTCTGGCGCATCCTACAGATGTAGTTGTGTATCCAAGGTACGAGTAGGTTACAGGTGAAAAATGGGCCAAATACTATCCCCGCCTTGCGTAGCCCTAGTTGTATCTACCCTTCATCAATTTATGAGTATTTCGGAACAAACTCCCCCAGCTATTACTAACAAGTTCCTGTCCGTCGCGTTGGAGCAGTAGCTGAAATGGTTGACGAGAGAGCGAAGGCGGGATCAAATTGTCTATAATTAATTTTTGGTGCCACGCTTCACTCGAGGCCCAAATCGGCAACCTTGCGGCCAATGTGCCTGCCTTCTCAATTTGCCAACCAACCGTGCGAGTAGTGAAGCGTGTTGCGAGCGGAACGGAGGCATTAGATACTAAAGACAAGCATGCTCCCCAACCGCGAATCGGTGGTGCTCTGCTAGTTAAACACAGAATAGAATGAGGAGACTACGTAAATGTTCCTGAGCGTTTTGTGCATCGAATAAACTAATTGGGGCCCTTCTGGCATGTCCGAGTCAAGCACAACGCAGCAAGAGCTGACCCCAGGTCAGAAGGATTACGTAGTACGGTGCTACGACCAGGGATTCCGAAAATACAATAAAATTGTATTTATATATATGACAACAAATAAATTACGGGTTGATCGGGCGTATTCAGTCAAATAAATAACTGAAAATGGGACCAAGGTGAAAATAAGATATTGCAGGTATTACCAAAGGAATAAAGTACATTTCAAACGCACCTCCATCGATGCCACTTTCCAAAACACTATGTCACGGTTGCATTATTAGGATAACTTGTCTCGAGAGAAGATAAAACGTTTTGTTTCGCTCAGCTACTCACAATTTATGTGTCGCAGCCAGCCAGCAAGCACAATAAATTATCACAATTTCAATAGAATCAACATAAATAACGGGTTATGGGCATTATTGACAGCAAAATAAATTATTTTATCGGTCAATAAGTATTGCCTTTTCAGTATATTTATTGCTCGGTATCCCTACCTACGACTTTATGTCGAAAGCGAAGGAAGAAGGCCTCTTCAGAGGGCGGCGAACCCATGACCTTGTTGCTGTGTGTCTACAGATAGCACACGGCACTGTCACGACGGTGATGAACGCCTACAGAGCCGACAATGACACCAAGTTCGAGGTCTGCACCAGCATTATTCTGGTGTCATTTTCTTATCAGCTATATGACGTTAATCTCTAATATTTTATAAACACAAGCCGATGCCCTCCCATCGAGGAAAGAAGCGCGAATACGACCCTGAAGAGTTAAAACCCGTGATTCAAACGTTCATCGACACTCAAAACAGACTAGGCCAACCCGTCACAGCACAAAAAATCATTCTAGAGGTAGCTGAAAAGACTGATGTTGATCTGCAGCTCCGAATAATACCGCGTTTACTGCACGAACTCGACTTTCATTATGTAGAAGAAGTATCACATCCTTGCCGACTCAGCCGCAGTTGTGTCTCTGCGAGAATACTACATCGAAAAAAAAGCTCGCTAACCGACGTGCACAAAGGTTTCAATAAGTAAGCCGAGCGGGCTTGAGAATCGGCAGAGAACAAACTCATGGCCGCAGACCAGATAAGGTACCTGTTTAAATAAATGTTTGGTATTATCTATGCCAACCAATGGTTACAATCATAATCTGATTTGCTTGTGTTCAATTGTGTACTTTCTTGTGCAAATACATGCGGTTTGGCGAATTGCCCAAATGCCGTCCTCAAACGCAACCCATTTCCCGTAAATGCTAAAGGAATTGGGTCTGCGAACCCTCATTACAGATGGTTACATTTTGGTCCAACGTTCATTTCCGAGTACAATAGTGACTGAATTTTTACAGATAAATCACCGTTTCCAACCCCCGTATATGATTGGCATGGATATTGCCTAGAATCATTAAAATAATGTTTCCATTATTTTTCGACGTTTTGAAAAATACTAACCGTACTAACAAATACGCGCGATGATTCAGTTATGAAAAAAAGTGGAAAATTGTTCGCTTATTCCCTTAGCCGTAACGTATGTTGGGATGCTCCCCCCCAAACTACGTGTTGATTGAGCACTAGGTACAGACATCTTACTTACTTTCTTTGTGCCTTGTTTCGTGTAATAAACTCGTTGAGCTTCGTGTGGTACTCTTGGAGCTTTTCCTGCGGTATCTTATAGGCGTAGTTTGGCTTGGTCAACAGCTTCTTGTAACTAAAGCCCAACTGTTTACAGAGGGCCTTAAGTTCCTTGGTTTGTTCCATAGTAAGAGTCCGTTCCTCAGAGCTTTCATTGTCTCCATCTGCCAAGCGTAGGTTCCTCATAAAACGCTGGCTTGAGCTGTCGGGAGATGTCATTTTAGATATCTTGGCTTGGTCAAACTCAATGGACGTCGTGATGGCCTCACAGGTAACCAGGAGGGAAGCCGCGACTACAGTTAAAAACCGAGAGAGACGCATCAGTACGTTTGTTGGCTAAGCTTGGAGAGTTGAGAACAGCGGAGAAAATTCCAAAGTGAGATGGCATTGAGGTAGGGAGCATCCAAAGGTTGAACAAAATCACCATCGCCGTTGGGTGGTCCTGGGGCTCCTTGAACGAAGAGCGAAGTTTTATTATTGTATGAATTTGTGATTATGGTACGCTAGAAATTCAATAAAACGTCTGGTTGTGTAGCGAGTGATTACTTCCATACCAAAAGCATGAAAACTGTATGAAAACTGTATGACAACTTATCGGTACTGATCGACACTTTTATTCGCGCATGACAACTTATCGGTACTGATTGACACTTTTATTCGCTCATACAGTTTTCGTGCTTTTGGTATGGAAGTAATCACTCGCTACACAACCAGACGTTTTATTGAATTTCTAGCGTACCATAATCACAAATTCATTGTAACGGGGTACATACCCCAAGTGTACCCAAGTTACATGAAGAGTGACCAAGTCACTCTTG